TTTTTTTTTTTTTTTTTTTTTTTTTTTTTTTTTTTTTTTTTTTTTTTTTTTTTTTTTCACTTCAAACAGTACGCAAACGTATTATATTCCAATAGAGTTGATACATACGAACTATACATTACTATGCGCTATTATTCATTCACGCATTTTACTCCCAAGCGCGGACAATTTACAACCAACTCCTGTTATTTCCCGACGATTGCGTTTGTCCTGCCGGTACAGATTTCTCTGTCTATAGATTGCATATATAATTCTTAAGCGCACCCTCAACGATTAAACGCTATATGTTTCCATCCCCCATTAACGTTCCTCCTGACTCTTTGCTCAACCTCGTACAGGTACATTTTCTGAAATTCTTTACGGTATCCCAACATTTTTGTACTTTTACAAATTACGTTGTCTGTTTCCTTTTTAATTGTCTTGTATTACATTTTCCTCCTGCCTCATTATTTCAAGTTTGTTTCGTTCTCCCTGCCTTCCTTTTTCTGCTTGTTCTCTGTCTTTCTTTTTTTTTCTTTTATTTCCTTGAACAAACCACCCATGTGTTGCGTGTGGGTTGGCATATCCTTTTTTTTTAAATCTCGATACTTTTTTTATACATTATTTGATATTGTTACTTAGCTCAGACTTGTCGGAAAATTTAAAAAAAAAAACCAACCTTTAATACTCTTTTTGTTAAAATCGTATGGTAAAAGCCTGAGTATTTTCACCCTCGACTCCTTAAATGATACTTTGGTAACTATCGAATCTCTATTATTAATCATTTTCAATATTTCCATTAGCGTTGCAGGGCAATATTTTTTCAATACGTGGTTTTATTTTCTTTCAGACGAACAGCCTGTAGTGCTTGCGTCCAACTAGGCAAGTATTGTCCATTCATTAAAATTTCTCTCGAACGTAGAGCGTATAAAAGATAAAATCCCGATAATTGACGAAAAACGTTCAAAACTTTGGGGAGTAATAATAAGCATCGATATCGTTTTAAACCAACCGCGAAAGATATATATATTGTACGGGCGAGGGCAAAAAATATAGTTATGAATGATCTGCACCGTCAGATAGAGCCCGACAACGGCAACAACGCGCCGACCGGGGATTGTGTTACAAAACGCAGAGTGTGCCAACGATTGCGCAAAATTGGACAATGTCGTTTCTAAATTATCGATGTATTACGTATACACCAGAACCAATTTACATTGCAGATATAATAGGAAATTCCGTTGACATGAAAAAAAAAAAAAAAAAAAGAAACCATACACGCGTAGGAATGTTATTTAGTGCAAAAACCTTTGTGCTCTCTCTATATACATAGGTATACATTTACGCGTGTACGTGATACTTAATTCCCGATTGTCTTCGAGTCGCGGTACGTCGCGCGTCCAACAACCACGTTTCTCCGTAAATTGTGGTTTTCGCGTCGATTTTAATTAAATTTTTCGAAATCCACCACAGCAACGGTATTTCATAAGCAAAATACGCGCACCAAAAACACCCGAGATCTATCGGTATGTATGAAAAAACGATCGGTGTTTTGACCCCCTCCCCCCCACCCCTTGGCAATTACGAGCAAAGATATAGGGCGTATAATAATAAAGGCACATCACGTATTGTACACCGCATTGCGTGGCCTTAACCACCAAGGAAGCGCTAAAATTTTTGTCGCGACCTCTTCTCATCGGACATCGAAGAGAAAGCGGTGTAGTAGCCACACAAAGAGGATACAATAGCACGAGCGCAACGTGTGCATTAATTATACATGGAGAGCAACCACCACCGATGTGCTAAGAAAAGATCAACGTAAACGGCGATTGCAAAATCACGCGCTCAACGATCTGTTGGATGATGGATTTGCCCCTTTTTTTTTTTCTAATCACCGAGCTATCGTGTAATTATAGGCGAGAGAGCGCGCGTCGAGAGGAGAGCAAAAATGATCGAGGAATCCGACCTTGCCTGACAATATACTTTTTTATCCCAACCACCGTCGCCGCAACTCCAGCACATTATATTATTATTAAACGAGTATATATATACATCATATACAGGTTATCTCGTGCACTCCGAATGGTTGACCGCACCTATACATATACGTATGTGCATCGATACCTGCGTATGGGTTTAATTTACCGTGTATAGTTGGCGGGTATCGGTATCAGGGGTGGAAAATTGCGGCTCTCCGGCGCGGGGTACACTTGTATAGACGGCGGCCTTGCAGCCAACTGTTGCTCCCGCTGAGAAATTACACGATAGGGATCGCCGGCATTATCTCAAGTTCGGAATGTGCAGCTGCAGTCGAGAGTGGGCAAGAGTGCATGTTAAAAAAAAAAAAAAAAAAAACAGAGAGCAGGTATGTGCTTTTTTGCACTTGCTCGTGTGCATATATATATACATATGTATGGCACAAGGGAGATAAAGGAGAGAGAAAGAGAGGACCATAAATGCCCCGCCCTATTCCCTGGCGTGCTTCTGAGGTTCAGCAGAGCCGCCCACGTGGTGTGCCCGCGCTTCACGTCTATATAAAAGCTCACTTTAGCATCGGGCGCGCGACAAGCCTTTAACGCGGACGGCAGATTCTACTTACCTTGGCACTATACGGGTACGCTTCTCTTCTTTTCCATTTTCACAAATTGTATGAAAAAAAAAAAAAAAGAAAAAAAAACATGAGACTTAAAATTAAGTGTTAAACGTTTTTCTTTTTTTCCCTATAGAGTAAAAATTGAATCGATTAAATCCTCGATATGAATAATCTTACAATCTTACAAACTGCCGTAAAAGCCTCGGCTGACCAGTCTTACTTGTTATACGCAGCTGCAGGGATTAACATTCACTAATGAATAATGGAATCACTACGCTTATACGCATTTACATCCTTAAGCACCTTTTTTTTTTTTTCTTGCAAAGTTGAGTTTTTTTTTTTGATTTTTTTTTTTTTTTTTTTTTTTTGGACCTCAATCCAATTTCCATTACAGCCCATGCAGCCTGCCATATCGTCTTCTGATTGTGGCAGAAAGCTAAGCCCTTTTAGTTTCTTTAGGACCTTTTCTAGTGTTCCACGCCATGTTGGGGTACTAAGTCATAAGCGCTTTAACCATCGCCCTCGCAAGTGCCTCGAATGCGATGTCAGCGCTTTTTTTAAATTAAACCTCTAAGTCATGTCTGCAGCAGAGTCAGCCCTCTCTTATCCTTATTCCACCATAATTCTCCTTACTATAGAAGTAACGTGTTCATCCCTCCCTCTTTAAGAATCCGTAGTGCCTACAGCAGTAATCCGGGCTTTTACCGGATCGAGACTACTGCCTCAAAGAGGTTACCACCTGGGTCACTAGTTTCTTATTGACATTCTTTACTTTTAGTGCTTTTCAAAATTGTATCGACTATTAAAAGCAAGTATNACTACTAGAAAAATTAAAAAAAAAAAAAAAATTTAAACGTAGTAACGGACAAAAAGATCTTAGCATATTTGAACCTCACTGAAATAAGGAAATTCCAAACTGTAACATTTGTAGTCTCATTTTGACTTTTTTTTCACGACACGATCCAATATTATTATTGTTATATTTACATGAAGTTAGCATAACGAAAGGACACCTGTGCTTTTATATAAAATTAATAGCTCTGGGCGTTTTCAATGGGACGTCGGTCCAACAATAATTTACCATGCAAGACTTCCAAATGTGTCAAGTTTATTCTGCAGGCATGAATAACCAGTGACACTTCGCGGTACCATTTCTTTTTTCCTAGTATTTTCTTTGAATTAAAAAAAAAAAAAAAAAAGAAAAAAAGAAAAGAAATTAGCCCCAACAAAACCGAGCATGATAATTATCATATACCATATAATGGCTATTAAGGCCAAAGAGAAGCAGGTATACGGGGTGTCGAAATTATTGAAAAATTAAAATAATCTCCAAGCAGGTATAACCCGCGTATAATGCACTTGCACGTCTCTTGCTCAACGCGATTTCGAGAGAGAGAGGGTAAGGTCGTGACTGGATGAGGCTGTATATATATATATATATATACGGGACAGTGCATGCACAAAAGGCGCATTGTCCCGTGCACATCTCGGCAAACGCCACACGCGGGGTCGTTAAAAGTAATTGAATGGATTTGGAGAAGCTGCGCCCGAGAATGGCTTATGTAGTACAGGTCGAAGGGGGTCGAGAGAGGCAGGGTTGACCTGGGATTATTCGGGCATCACCGCGACCTTTTCGGTGCATATGCGCAATCATAATATATACATATGCACCACATCGGCTTATACCCCCCGCGTTCGCTTCGCTCTCACAGTATATACTTAAATGATGAAACGAGTGCCATGAGATAAATATATTATACGCAGCCATGCCCTCCCTTCCCCCATCTTCTGCTCCTATACATACTTCAGGCGCATGACGGCGGCGTCCTCGGTATAAACGAGCCTGACACTGCTGATGGTATATAATATGCCTATGCAGCCAGGTATAGCATGCGCGAGAGCAAGTTACATCGCGAGCCTCCCATATGATCTCTCTCTCTCTTTTTGCTGCCACTGCTGCTATTACTATTTTACTATTGAATTATCGAGCGCTCGTTTTCCCACAAACGCGTGGGAAACTGCATACTACACGTACGCGCGCCCCTTTTCTCTCTCTCTTTGCATCTTCAAGGGTACAATATGTGCGATTCTAGTTTCGTCTTCTTCTTCTTCTTCTTTTTTGCCTTCTGTGTATAATTATTTTTTTTTCTTGCCCCCTATATGATTATGTAGTTGGCCTACTGATTTACTTTGATTAAAATTTAAGGGTATCAAAGAAATCATATTACATTGTTGATACTCATCGTGAAAACTTGTTATAAAAGTAAAAAGTAAAACCTTGAGCTCTCTCGATTAAAAAGAAAAAAAAAAGCGGAATATAAATTAGACTTCTCGCGTCTTGTAAGCGTTTTGTTGAAAAATTCAAAGTAGTAAGCCCAATTTTGTGAAATCTTGAAACATTTTTCCCATGATGGAAAACGATTGAAAAATCAACGCAACAGGTGGTAAGAGTGTACAGAATAACGGAATAATACAACTGCATTGGACGTTTTTTTGTTTTACATTGATGAATCGTGCGTTTTTATTGAGCGTGTATTCACTTGATATACATAATATTTACACACACCGTCAATTGTCAAATCGAGTCGTAATAAAAAAAAAAAAGGTATTCATATTTACTTATGTGTCGTTATATACATGCGTACACACACACACACACGCGTGTACGCAATGCATGATAAAAAAATGGCGTGGCATCGTGAACTCTCGCGACAGAAGAAGAGGGGAGGGGGAGGAAACAGTTGGAGATGAAATAGAGGTAGAGGAAAAGAGAAATGAAAGCCGATATAATTTTACAGGTACAATATACACATGGGTTTTCGGGACGCGCTTGAGCTCGAGTTCTCTTCTCATCGTCAGGTACTTCTCTCCTCCGATTTCTCCGGTCTTCCGTTGTTGGTGGACCGTAAGGTATTAGCTTCCAACGGTGAGTTCCTTTCCTGCGGTAGAGTATCATCGGGGGGTGAGGGGACGTGGGGCGGGATTATTAAAAGCACACCCTAAAATTAGATGTGTCCGTGTCCGCTGACGATGGCTGCTCCGTGGCCGGCGCCGTGCGTCGTGATTTTGCCGGATGGGCCGGCGATCACGGCGGAACCCGCATCGGGACCCGACACAGCTACCGGTCCAGCGTGGGGACCCGCCACTGCCACTGGTCCTGCGTAATAAGCGACTTTATTTATTTTGCACGATATCATGACCTCCGTATACAATGGTATCCCGTCACTCTTTCACCAGAGCAAAAGTGAAGCCATGCGAAATCACCATTTAGGAACGGAACTTTAACAAAGGAATTTTTTATTTCCAAGCTTTAATGGAAAAAACGGGATTTTTAACATCAAATGTGCAAATCCTCGTTCTGTATATGGCACACTGGTTCTTGTGCATTTCACCCCGGAGAGTCAAGTAAACACTTTGTTTATTTTTCTGAGCTGAGTAAAAGTGAAAACTTACCTGCGTGCGGGCCAGCAAGTGCAACTCCGTGAGCGTGTGGTCCAGCAACCGCGACTCCATGAGCGTGGGGCCAAGCTCCGTAGTGGGCGGGGGCTACCGCGTGGCTAATGTATCCGTGGTGACCCCCAGCGGTCAATATCGCACCGTGTCCGGGGTAACCGTAGCCGGCGTGGCCGGCGTAGCCGTAGCCAACGTGTCCGGGGTAACCGTAGCCAACGTGGCCGGGGTAACCGTAGGCGCCATGGGCCACACCGTGAGGCCCTACACCTGCACCGGGAAAAGACGAAGACGGTACACATGAGTAAAGGTCAAATGACACTTAACTTGGTTTTCGAAATTTAGTGACCCACAATAGTTGCGTTCATAATATCTTGGATCCGAGGATGATTCGTTATAGTTCAATTATACTAAAAATTTTTTTTTTTTTTTTTTTTTTTTGAGATCTTGGAAGCACCCAAGCAACACACACACCCACTGACGGAACGTTTTTACAATTTTTCAAGCAACTTGGTATTCCCCCTTCACAATTATTGGCGAATCAATTCGTAAGATTCTTAAGATCAATTGACCGACGTTAACCTAACGCGATAAATAATCAATATAGTTGCTATTTATGCACAACTCAATTACTCATCACCGTCACTTTGGTAACAAAGAGCAATCCCCAAGCAGTCCTACTCACCGTAGTGCTCATGATGAGGTCCGTAATGTTCAACGTAAGATGGTCCGGCAACGGCACCAGTGACGACCGCGCCGTGGTCAACAGCACCAGAGATACGGGCGGGTCCCACAACTGGTCCGGCCAGGGCCGAGGGGCCGTTGGATCTTTGGAGCAAATTAATGTTTTCGTTGTCGCATTAGAAATTTTAAGCTGCTTCCAAGTAAGTTTAAGTTTTTAATAACGAAACAATAAAACTGCAGTGTCCAAACATGAGTTGAATAATGACTAAGATATAAGTAGAAAAACAATGTTAAAAAAACGTAAATGCAAAATATTTCCCATTTTAATAAAATCGTGAAACAACATAGACTGATTTTTTAATTTAAATATCGATTGAAAAAAAAAATCAAATTATTATTTTTACGCCGGAAGGACAGTCGTAAGTGCACTACACCGTTTCTGCTACTTGACGAGAGTACTCTTGGATTTGAAGAAAAAAAGAGTTTCAATACCACCAAACTACACCTACGACTTTTTTCACGTGTAAAATATGCCAAGTCAGAAGTTGTGACTCAGAACTGTAAGTGCAACTTTTCATTTTTCCATCAGAGAGATTTTTTTTTTTTTTTTACTTTGTGGTCAATCCTTATTTGGATAATATTTATTAAGTTATTTTATGGGTAAAAATATCAATCAGCAGGTATTGAGCACAAGCTGCACTTACAATTTTTCTTCTCTAAAAAGTTGGCGATGAATCAATTCAGTCTATTTATTTATTTCGAGATTTTCACTGGCTAAAAACACTATACAAATGCAAAAGTAATATTGACAAAAAATGAAAATAATAATACTAACGCACGAAGGGCGTTTGACGTAACTTCAGATTTTAAATTAAAAAAAAACACAATAAGTTAAATTCCACAATAATCCATTCATATAAAGTAATCCCGAGGAAAAAAAAAAAAAAAAAAAAAAATATAAATTGTTAGGTATTTAAATATTATCTTACGGTCCGACAAGGGAGTTGGGTCCCGTGTGGGGTCCAGCCAAGGCAACGCCGCCGTGGTAACCGTGTCCGTAGGCGTGTCCGAGCCCAAGATGCGGCAGGACGCCACGCTTGTCACGCTGCTCGGCACTGACGACCGAAATGACGGCAAGGCAGATCAGCTGCGAACAGTAGTCAAAAAGATTCTTCCATCAATTACGGAAACTCACTTTTGTACCTCTATATATATATACTTTCGGCGCGAACATCGGAGCCGAAGTAGTACAAGCGCGGGCGCCACAAGTAGAAAAACCCGAGAATGGTAAGACGCGCCGGAAGCGGCGAACCGAAAACGAGCGCGGAAACTATAGATATAATATTTGATAAATACACCACAGAGCTCGGGCTCGGTGTGTACATGTATATATACGTAATGTTGAGGTACGTGTACTTACAAAACCCTTCATGATGTCGGCTGTCGATAGACTGAATGTTCCGGCAAGCTTCAGTCAAGGTGCTTTTATAGTCGTGTCGAGGCGCGCCCCCGCCGGGCCCCCCTCGCGGCTACGATAGTCCCTTCGAATCGAGCGATCGACCACACCGGCGCGGAGAGCGAGAATAGAAAACGGGGGAGCCAACGGTGCTCGCTCCAGCCGCCGATCCATTGTGCAAGAAGGTCGCGGACACACCCAATGAACGGCTCTTACAACAATATACCTGCGTTACCCGCGTCCTTCGCGAGCGGAGGCTGTAAGGCCACGCGCCCCCGTTTACCGATACATATACGCATATCTCTCCACGGGCCCCTTTCTTTTCCCCCTGCCTCGATCTCTCTGCTCCCCCTACCGGTGGCGTAAAGCTCTGGACTAGTTTTCCCAACGCGGCCTTTGTCCACCGCGGGAGACACACCCCGTCGTCGCTCGCCTGGTCTTTTTCTTTTGTTTTGCCGTATAAATTTAGACGCCGGTCTGCGCGGGCCCGCCACTTGCCGCGGAGCAGTCGCCGTGCACCTGCCCTACTCCCCGAGGTCCGTGTATATACGTGCCCTGACGCCGATACCGAGCCTACGCCCTGCATTGCACCGGTAATTCAACCTATACATATACTTTATATATACGCTACGCACCTCATTTGCTCCATTTGTCTTGCCACGTATATTATAATATACGGCGACTAAGTAATCGCAACTCCTGTGTCTGCCCTCCGTGACCAATCGCACCTGTAATTTTGTAACCCTCGATCGCGCAAGCAAAAAAAAAAAAAAAAATCAGAGATCGGTAAATTTCGCGCCACTCATAAATACGAGGCTTGAAAATCGGCTCATGTATACATATATAAATAAGGTGTTTGCGAAACGTCGAGCAGCTCTGTAAACTACTCGCTGAACCGTTTGCCCTCGGCTGCATGGATCGATTTATCGTGGTGGAAAGATCGGTAAGACGTTCGCTCCTCCTTTCGGATTGACGAGAGCGAAAAAAAAAAAAAAAAAAAAAAAGATAAGAGAGCCCCGGGTAGGTACTGCACAAACCTATACACACGCGCGCATGTACGGGCACATAATACTCAGGTGTAGTCAGTTTGTTTAGTACTCATACTGTCAGACCTTCGTAAGAGTGTTTAAGAAAAAAAAAAAAGAAAGAAAGAAAGAAAAACAAAAGTGTGCCAATTTGCCAATCGAAGCAAACAGCCGAAAAGTCGAAAAGTGCTCGTGAACGAAGCCGCCAGGCCGACTATTAGCGACGAAACGCTCGAGCGAGAACATAATAGAAGGGGTAGGCGCGATGGTGGTGTATACAAGGTAGACGAGGGGGCGGGGACAGCCGCAGTTTGCACAGATGCTCCGATGGAACGTGATCACGGGCTAATAGCTTATACGTACAGGTATATATGTATATATACTGTACACGTAAATGGGCAGACTGACGTTTACGGTCATTGTCTAGCTGAAGCCGATGCTCTCGCTCGGTGCATCTATATACACGTGCAGACGAACACCTTACGGCCTCATTGTGACGTTTATGTAGGTAGATAGTCACCCATCTGCACGAGGACGAAGGCCAAATTGGCTGTTTCGTGCATTCAAATCGGTAGAGTGTAGGTACCCATAGTACAGCGAGGTGGGCGCCTCTTCTCTTGTAATGGCAACACCACTGCCACTCCACCACCACCTGCACTCCTGTTGGGGGACAGTAGTTTTTCAAAGAAACGCGCTACTTTTTTCAGTTTATGAAATACCTTTACAAGATGTATTAACCTCGGTGTTAACGCACATCGTTGATAACTGGGTGCTCTAGAATTACTAAAATCCGAAAATGCTTTCTTTCATCATCAGATCTGATCTATTGCCACGTTTTAATTTCATCGTGTAGATGATTATTTGATGTTTATGCAATCGGTAACCAAGGACCAAAATGTCCCCCCTACCTACCCTACAGTGCAACTTGATGCTCTCGTATTTGCAAAATCATTTAAATTCGTTGGTTAATGAGCAATCCCTTGTAAATTTTCACCATTTGTATAGTTTACGCTCTAATGAGCCCATAAGATGGAACGATCGCTCGAGTTAATTTCTGTAAGCCTTGACCCATATATCTATATGCGAGAAAGATCGACGCGAAGCTTGCGTTGTTGCGAAGCCTTACGAACACATGACTAATTAATTAATTCATAATTCAATGAGCATTTTTTTTTTTTTCGATCGGGCGTTGGCACGTCGTTAGCGTGTGCGCCTATTGCTTTCAGGCGGGTCATGATATGCTAATGGCTCAGTAGGTAATTGTTACGAGATTGAAACAATAATGCTTTCACTTGTAATGTTTTATTGTAGCAATTTAACGAAATTGTTTTTGTTTCAGGTTTCTGTATCGGAATGTGGGGCGCCAACAGCTCGTTGATCGTTCGACAAGTCGATTATCAAGGTGAGTGAAATTGTTCGTTACAATGCAATGTGCAATAAGTATATTCTGGCCCTTTTGACATCAAAGCCGATAACTGAAACGATTGTACGCTGTTCTTGCACCTTGCATGTGCTTTTTGTGAGTCATTTGTTAAATGAATAACGCGAAAGGCCAGTCGAGTATGTAAATTAACGCGCCATCTACTGTCCACAATGAGCACAACAGAATGTGAGCTTTTATAAACTTATGCAAAATTAGAAATAATTATTTTCGAAAAGCTAAGATCAAATTATTCATCTAGAAAGTATTTTTATAATTTTTTTTTTTTTCTACTTTTTACCGCAAAACTTGATTGCATTGCATATGTGTGGAGCGATTTATAAAGTTTCGCTAATATATGCTTATTCACGCACAAATTTATTGTTAAAGGATTGCCAATTTATTTTGGATTAACATTTGACATTTTTGATAATTGTTTGACTGTGAAAGTTAAAAGTTACTCTACAGCCGATTTCATGATAATCTATTTGCAAGAACATTACCGATCGAATCGAAACCTGCTGATAAATCGTTGAGAGATCGGTAAAGTTGACTTTACCGATACGTTTACTCTACAATGTACTTTCGATAATTCACTGTAGAGCTACACGAGCACAATCAATCTATCAACTATTATTAATGGTTCGCACCCTTAAACTGCAAGGAGGTGCATATAATTATATGATAAATAGTAGTGATTTTCTCTTCCTCTAAAAATTGTAAGACTCCACTCACGTTTTTATCTGAGGAGCGATACCCCAAAATACAATCTGTCATCAGTACTTTTTTGCCGATTTCCCTGAATTAGGATGACTTGTAACGCTAAACATTTGAAAAATTACAATTAAATTACATTTTTTTATTTTTTATTTACTGTTAACGGTTCCATTTTCTCTACTTTTTTATTTTTTGCGCCTATAAAGTTTTGATCATCAGAGTAAATGATAATAATATTTGGCTAGTGTTAAGGTTTGGGATCTGCAAAAGATAAACAATAACTGCCCCACTTATGCAGTTAAGTCGATTATATACAATACTCCAACTCAAAATTCCTTATTTCAATAAAACTTTTTTGTTGATGTAAAATCGTTACAAGTAACTGAAATTTGCTTCCAAAAAAAAGAGTTTTTTTTGGGCCTCAGGTTTTATTTATTATTTTAAAGTAAAACATCAAAAAATTATGCAAATCTCAAATTTTTTATAATTGGTTTTATATTTGTACATCTTTAAAACTTGTAAAGTAAAATTTATTTTTTGAATGGAAGTATTAATTTCGTTAAAATACTTTTTTACGTAACGATCCAGTTTTGTCAATGTACCTACATAGTCAAATTTTATATAAAACTCAAATTTTAATCGTAGATACAAAATACAAACTGCAAATATTTTCCATTTTTTTTTTGGTTTTTTGGACGAGTATTTTTTTAATCAACAATTTACTTAAATATTAATGACTTAAAAACTTGTATTTTAAATTATATCTATATAATTAACCCGTAAAATTTATTTACAAAAAATTTAATAATCTCAAAGAAATCTTATGAAAAATTGTATAATTAAAATTAGTAGACACAATTAAAGTAGTTTTGTAAGACTTAATGAATGATAACTAAGTATAAAAATTTATTTGCTGGTATAGTTAATAACGCGAAACTTTCACCAGTATGCTACTGAAGAAATTTAGTATCCACAAAATGAAAATTTTATAATTTCTACGGCTTCTATAAAATTCAAGACTTTTGTAAAAAAAAAAAAAAAACTCTTATTTTCAACAAATTTTGTTATCAGCCGGTGCAATCATATTTAGTAAAAGAAAAAAATGTTGTTGTTGCGAGTTGAGATGGAGACAGGTGAAAACGATGGTGGAGAGGAAGGAAGTACATACATAAATATAGACTTGTATTTGAGTTTTAAATACTGATGCTTTATTTTTATATAAAGTATTGTATAAATGTATAAACGCATTGCTATGGTGCTAGTCGTGATCGCATAGAAAAGAGTATGACGAGGGGCGGCGGCCATATCTATATACATTTTTATATTCACTCGCGGGAACATCCGACCTACCATAGTCTACCGGTCCTTTTCTTCACTAAATGTATAACATTATGTATATATATATATATATATATATATGTACGTATGAAAACGGGTATACACATGTATAGGCATAGCAATAGTACGTGTGTTTGTTCTGCGTTGTTGATGTAGTAGTAATAATATAAGAGAACAGAATTGTACAGAGTCGGTACGCGAAAAGCGCACGCAGGAAAGAGAGAAAGAACAGAGTAAGACTGAGAACGTAAGGCAGAAGAAATAAAAAGAGGAAGATGAAGATTGGAAAAAAAAAGACAAAGGGCGTAGAAGAAAGTACAGAGTCGTACGGAGCTGAGCAATAGTAATAGGTAATAGTGGCACGTTCGATGCACGTGGACGAGTACTGCGGGTATGTCAGCTGTCGCGTGCTTGTCTTTATATGTATGAGAGCTTGTTTCTGTGTGTACGTGTATTTGTGCAATAACAACAGTGAGAAACGGAGCGCAGTCCCCGTATACCTCGACTCAAGGGCTCGCACGAAAACGATACAAGCTTCGAAAGAGTAGGCGTAAAAAAAAAAAAAATAAAAATAAAGTTGAAGACAAAAGGGTGCGAGAAGAGTGCTGATGCAGCCGGTCGGGCGCCGGCCGGCTCGAGACTGTGCCGATGGTGGGCAACACCAGGGGGCGCCTCGGGCGCTCAGAAAACAGAGCCGTTTCGCCAAAACCCGCATATACGAGCCGGTGACGGAACGCCCGTATCCGCGCTTTCGTGTGTCCATGGCGTGTGTGTCTATGGGCGTATATTCATATATGTATATAGACTTGTGTGTATGCGTGTCTGTTGGCGTAAGTGAGAAACACAGGGGTTGTACACATATATATTATAGCCCCGGCCTGCGCCACCCGTCTCTCACTCTTTCAATCTTTCGTTCTTTTTTTTCACTCTCTCTCTCTCTCTCCCTCTTTCTTTCTCTCTTCTTTTTCACACCTCTAATCACCTCTTCGTATCGTCCTCCCTCTGAAGTATATTATAGCTCTCTTTCTCTGTCGCACTCTCGCACGAGAATGGCTCTCGCATGTATAATAACCTTCCTCCCCCCGAGTCGACGGGCTCAACAATGGGAATTGACTAAGTTATTACAAATCACATGTCGCATCAGCATCAGCGTTACCGATCGTCATCATCACATCTTCAACTTCTTCTTTTTCTTCTTTGTCGTCGTCGTCGATCGGCAGCAGCAGTATAACAGATAGTGAGAGAGAGAGGGGGGGGGGGCTACTCGCAGGGTGAGTGATTCCTACCTATATGTATATATATATAGTGATGTGTACTTAAATGCGAAAAATGGGAAATGCGGGACCGGTGAGGTGAGGTGAGGTGAGGTGTGCCGCCGTCGCCTGGCCGAGATCGCTGCTGGTCCGTGAGCGCTTACCATTTTCCATGGATGGGGCCTGGGATGATTGCCCCGTGACTGCCGAGACCTGCGTGGATGGCTCCACTTGGTCCGTTGATCACTGCCACTCCTGGAAATATATCGTAAAGTATATAGTTAAATTTGTTTTTTTTTCAAAAATTATTATTTTTCTCTGCTAAATTTTCTAAATCTACGCGTCTCACCGAGATGAATAATTGATTTTCAACAAAGTTACTGTACTTTACAATTCGGAAAAAAAACAAAAAAACTATTTATATAAAATAACAATGCGTACCTGCGTCGTGGCCTCCAATACCACCGTGGATGCCGGGGCCTCCTCCTCCGATGACAGCGATGGCACCAGCGCCGTAACCTGTGCGACAAGAAGGTCCAACTTAGATCAGGCTACCTTTGCGAGCAACACACCAGTCCCGATCGTAATGGCTGTCAGTTTTAGGATCGTAAGTACGTCCACGTCATTGTCCGTCTCGCGGTATTATTATACATTTTTATACTCATCCCATCCGACTTGATGAGGCAAATTTAATACTTAAAATATGGTTGTTTTTTTTAAACCAAACAATTTATATTTAAAGTTAAATTGAGATTCGGCGCTAACTTTTATTCTTGTGTACAAAAGTACTTTGAAACTCAAAATAAAGAAAGAGAAAACTTATTACAAAATGAAGTGCAATTGACTTGTAATTGTCAAGTTTTAACCTTTGAAATAAAGTATTTGAATGACCAAAAAAATGCTTTCCGTGTCACGTGCGTGTGGAGAAAATCGAAAGACGTTTTTACGGAAGAGTATATGACGTGATAAATGCTCACCAGCACCGCCAAGGCCACCGGGAGCGGCAGCGGCAGCAGATCCAGAGCTACCGTCGTCACCGTTGATGCCACCGGATCCGGCGTAGAAGGCAACACCTCCGTAGCTGGGTCCGACGAGGTTAGCGGTAGCCTGGCTGGGCCCGACGAGGGTAGCCGTGCCCTGGCTCGGTCCAATGAGGGTCGATGGGCCAGCGGCGGGTCCCACGAGACTGGACGGGCCGGTACGGGGTCCTCCGATGGACTTGGCGCCCTCCTGGGGTCCCACGAGGTCCGACGGTCCGCTCTGGGGTCCTACGTTGGCTTTGGGTCCCTCGGCCGGTCCAATGTCGGCCCTTCCACCGAGCACACCTGTCGATCCACACCAAACATGTCTCCACCATTGCATTTGCCACACCTTACCGATCGACCATCCTCAACGATACGTACCACCGGAGACGATCTGTTGTACTCCCGCAGCTCCGGCTGCCGAGGCGGCGCCAGCGGCGTAGCTAGCTCCCAGACCACCCGATCCCAGACTGGACGCACCACCCTGGAGCGAGTTCGCGGTGCCCGCCCCCGCGGCCAGACCTCCACTGAGCCCAGCGCCACCGTGGCCGGCGTAGCCGTAACCTCCGTGTCCACCGTAGCCTCCGTGCGCGATTCCAGCGCGGGCCGTCGCCACTGCCAGACAGGCGAACACGATCTGCAACGTCAAGCGACGAATATTATTCGACTTTTTTTACGTAATAAACATTCCGAGTAGTCGATGAAAAAAAAAAAAATAAATAAATAAAAAAAATAAAAAGAAAAAGGGGAGGAAAAGTCGAAAAATCGTAGCGCGTGTGGTCGTGGGAATCGGCAAAGTTTCCCACGGGCGGTGGTGAACTATCCCACGCGGCCGATCGCGATTTTCCGCGGCAGCTAGCTGCGATTAGTCATGCTGCTTTCACTTTCGTTCGAGGCATAGGCAGCATTGTCCTATGTATCTCCCCCCACCTCCCTCTGCTTTGCTCCGGCGCTCGCGACAGGTAACTCGAGACAAGATACAGATACTGGACGACGGGGCGTTGCGTCACAAAAGCCAGGTCAGTCGGAGCGAGCTAGTCGGCTACATAACGGGCCGTGTATACCGCGTAATTGGAGCGATTTTCGCGAAACGCACTCGGCTAGCTTTTCTCCATAATAGGCGATGGAAAAGGAGGAAAAAAGAAAGAAAGAAAAAAAAAAAAAAAAAAAATACCGGGCTTTGCGCAATAGCCGATCGCTTAGGCGCAACGCGACCTTATATGCGCGATTAATCGGGCGGCCAAAGGAGCTCGTTAGGGGAGCGCCCGGAGCCAGAGGGGGAAAGGGTCTTGCGAAATCGGCACTGCCGATGCAATCGCGGCGCGCCCGATCTAAGGATACACACACGCAGTGCGCAATGTCCCCGTATACATAGAGACACGCGTTTGTATATATATGGTATTAAGGTAATAGGCGAGAGAGGCGGAGAAAGTCCGAACGATTTAGAAATCAATTTCGCGCGCTCGCGTGTGCGTAGGTATATATAATAACACAAGGTGCATTATACGCGGGAAGAGGGGAGGGTAAGGTAACTCGGAACTGCGAGAAATTACGCATTCGTTCGCTAATAATATTCCGCATTTATGCGTATGTACTTTCACGCGGCGTCGGTCGGTATAATAACCCGAGCTCCCCGGAAGCTCTTTCGGCGGGCGTTTAGCGAATTTCCGCGCTTCGTAACTCTGTTATTTCAGTTGGGGCGCTCGCGGAAGTTTTCGCGCATTCGTTATTTAACCCGTGCGAATCGTTGCTCTCGGATGATGATAATAATAATAATAATAATATTAGTGCTGGTGGTGGTGATGGTGCTCTCCCAAGGGTTATCGTATTTCTTCCGGAAACGGGGCATGTAAAATGTACAGTTTGAAGGTACTGGATCGGCGCGATTCGAAGAGAAAGGGAAAATGGATCGCGGCGCACGAGTTGGACGGAAGGAAAAACGGCACTTTAACGACACGACGAGCAATCGAGTATGGGTGTGTACAATAGACGAAAGTGAAGAAGAAAAAAAAAAAAAGGTTTTTTTTTTAAAAATAATATCGGGTCGATGGAGGTGATGTAAACAGAGGGTGGAGAAGAGCTTGCGAAAGAGATGAGATAAAGAAAAAGCCAAGGTGTGTACAAGAGATAATAGGGACCGAGCGAACCGAACGAGAAGGAGATACTCACAAAGGCCTTCATGTTTGGTTTGTGTGTGGTGGGCTGTTATAATCCGGTGAATGACTGACTTGGGCCGGGTCGGGCGGCTTTATATACGGTCCCAACTCGGGCAAGCTCCCCTATGCAGGCCTAGGCACCGCAATCACCGTCCTTTCGAAAGCTGCTGCCGCCGCCGCCGTCGCCACCGCCACCACACGGTACTTGCTCCCCTTCGCCCCACCTCCTCCTCTTCCTCGTAATCATCGTCTTTTCCCACCCCTCCCTTTTTTCGCGGCCTCCGCCGCCACCCCGGCTCGTCCCTATCCTGCCACGCGCCGCATCGGAAACCGGCTTCCACGTGTCGGCGCAGCATCCAACAAGAACAACACCACCTGATGCAAAGTCCTCGTGCTCTTGCGACTTTATTTTTCGGTCGGCCGTTCAGGATTTTCCGGGGTAACAGCGAGCACCTGCACTGCCGTGTCCCGGCTCACGTTTCGCTCTCTAGTCGGGGCCGGCTGCTCGGATCGCTCGCACGCGCTCTGCTCCAGGGAGGACCCATATAACCACCTGTGGTGCTGGACGAGCTCCTCTCGGGCTCGACGCTTCGACGTAAGAAACACATTTCTTTTATCATTTTGCTTATCAATCGCCACGACCCATCGCCGTTTTTATTCACAAGGGTCTTGTACCCTAGTCGTTTAATAATATGCTCCGTCCACGATGACCGGGGAGATTATTCAATTCAATGGGGCACAAGCAACAAACGAGATAATTTTTCAATAAGCGAAAATAAATTTAAAATAAAATTTTACGCTCGAATTTCAAACGCGCTTCTTTCGTGCCCTTTTCTGACGCGCTCGTCAAAATTACCGTGATTATGACTGATACCGATTTATTAATTTTTTTCCCGGGATTTTTCTTTCTTCGTCAACTTTACCTCGTGTAGTAGCATCAGACCGATTCCCCCGAAATCTACTCTAGAAAGATAAATTATACATGAATCCTTGAGTAATCGATAAGCCAAAAGCACCGTTAAAACTGTACATTTCCAGCTGTTTTTTTTTCTTCTCTTTGTCCAAGCGTATAATACCTGTATTGTCGTAAAGTCCGAACGCAGTGACAAACAGCTTAGGCGCGGATCGAGATACACTTTGGAAACTTGGCGGGCCGTGAGTTGTGCATACAAGGGCGCAGCGAGCGGAAACAGTCGGCTGGATGTACATACGTATACAGGCAGTGGTTATAATTTAAAGAGGCGACGAAATCTACTTAGCCCGCGAGGGCACTTTGTCCCGGGAAAAGGGGCGAGAGGGATTGCAAACTCATTATTCAGGATTATGCTAAGTGTTAAACTTGACGACTGTGTGAGCTCCGTCGGCAAGTTTTTATCTCCCCGCTCGTCGTTTGGTCTGATCTTCTTGCGATTTTCCAGCCGAACGCCGCGTGGGAACGGCGCGTTGCTCGAGCCAACAAATCGCCTCTTGTTGTTGCCGTCTTGCGAGACGAGCTATTAATTTTCTCGTTATTACTTTACAATAATCTATCCCTTGGGGCTCGCACCCGATTTCACGCTTCGACTTTCGATCGCGCAATTATACTTATTAACCAATAATAACGACGCATATATGTGTGGTTAAACAATGTGCGTTGAAATTATCAACGTTTAATAAGTGAAAAATTGCGCAACAGCGCGCTATGGACGGTTGTGTGTATCCACGGCCGATCGCGGGGTAATTTTGCGCGATCGATCGGTTGAAGAGTGAGCCTCCGCGGTGTATGATTTGCAAAGTAATTTGAAATTCGACGTTGCGCAAAATCGGACAATTTTCTCGCGTTATCGCTCCCTAACCGAGTATAGTTATGCATTGGGCCACTTGTTTTACAACGTCTGCTTGTTTGTGGATTTCCATTGCCATTTTTCCCTACAAACTGTATTTACAAACAAGTGGCTGAAAGATTAGACCTTTGCCTACCAGGTATTCATCCCCGGAGCAAAAAGTGTTATTACAACACATTATATACGTAATGTTTTGTACTCTCTGATTGCAAATTGCGGTTTGCTGTTAAAACAAAATTATCTACCAAATGAAAATTACTTGATTTAGTCCGGAAACTTTATACATAGTATATATAAACTTTATACCCTATACGGTAAAGATACACGTACACCCTTATATTATAGTGTAATAATCTCTATACCTCATAGCGGTCCTTTGAGAGGAGTTGATCCAACTTGAGAAAATGTGCCAAAATATTTATTTCACCAGAGAACCCCTAATCCTCGTCCACAGTCTATAGTTAGAAAAAAAGTCGAAACCCATCGTTTAATTGACCAAACTAATGGCTTACCACGCCATGCAGCTTACTATACACTGAAAGTAACAAAAATGATAAAAATTACTGTCCTAGAGTGGTAATCTGGTGTACTTTTTCCTACCTATTTTTTACCAGTTTGGACAGTAATTTCATTGTACAAACAGTAAAAATGATGGCACTTGCAACGAAAATTACCGTTCTAAACATTAAAAATTATTCATAAAATGGTAAAAAGTCTCTAGGCCACCGAACAGAAATTTTTACTATTTTTTTTCTCTTAGTCTATTGTTATTACCCAAAGTTCGACCACAGGACCAATTAAAAAAAAAAAAACAGCAAAACATGAATCAACAATGAGCCTCCCAATCGATTTTGTTTAAGCTCGGTCATTTGCTCGCGTATGCCATTTACCTTAAATCTTCTCCATCTGATTTGGTATACACTAGCCGCGGTTGCATCATCACCAGGTCAGAGAAAATAAAGCTCGTTAAGCTTCCGACAGTGGTTGTCGGAAGGAAAGAAGGCGCATAAATAGGTCGATGTCTTTAGTACCACCCAGGGCCCGTGTAAGTCCGAGCGAGGACTTCTTATCTGACTAGTGTGCATATACTTTTCTCCTAAGGTGGGCCAAGTAAAGAAAGAAAAAAAAAATAGCTCTATACGTGTAGGCTCGGCGTAACACGCCTTACACGCAGTAAGTATACATATATACATACAATCGTGTGCAAGTTACGCGGGTGCAAAATATACAGAGCTCGGCTTTGGCGCGTCTAGGCCGCTCTAGAAAGTGAAAGCTATTATATTATTTTTCGGAAGTGACAAAAATGCTATACTTACCGGCTGCCTCGGCGAAAGCTGCGCCCGATCCTTCTTTTTTTTGTTTTTTTTTCCCCCATCGCGAGGCTGAGTCGCGACCGGTTTTCCTGCGCGAGTAAATGACATGCACGATATACTTTGACACGTGTATAGGCACGATGCATCGCAAAGCGCGGACCGATAGTTTTCCGCGCGGGCGCTTCGATACATTGGGATTGACGAAAATTGTGCAATCCGTTGCGAAATGAAATCATAAAAGATGGGGGCTGGTAAATCAATGGGGGATTCGAAGAATGAAAAGAAAAGAAAAGGCAGGAAAGTCGGTCGGCCGAGCGCATTCCTGACACGCTCGGTGATCACCCTCGTGCCGCGTCACTGGCGTTAATAAGCCCCCGTTGCGCGCGGCAGAGCCACAAATCGGTAAGTACGTGCGGTTTATTGCGAGTTGTTGGGGTTTTGGGCCGATTTCTCTGCCGGCGTTTGCGCAATTGGTCGGGACGAAAAAAAAAAAAAAAAACAGACCCTCCGTCCGATGGGCACCGAACATATTCATTTGGGTTCGATATCTTTATGGGGTAAAAAATGTCCTTTGCGAGCATGTTGAGAATAATTTGTCCATACCTATATATATAGAGAAAACGTATCTAATCACTCGCTGATAAAAGTCACCGCGATGTCGTAGATTAGCATCGTTACGTACGTCGACTTTCTCCGCGATTGGAAAAAAAAATCAAGCAGAGACCACGTTGGTTCGCGGAATTTGAGATTTAATTTTGCTTCCTCCCATCGGATCGGTATCCGCGGATCGGAAGGAAAAGCGAGAGAACTTTACGGCTCTGCGATAAATTTTCCGAATCGCTTCCGATCAGCGGGGCCATAAACACGGAGAGCATCAGCGAAAAACAAATAAGCCGTCCTTTCGCGCTAACGTTTCACAAGTCGTGTCGGTGTTTTGGGGGGGGGGGGGAAAGCCAACTCCTTATGGTGCAGGATAATTAAACGTAAACGAAACGACCGGATAATCGGCACCGAAGAGATAAGCATAGGAGGAAAAAAAGTCTCGCGTGAAGAAAAACAGGTGTTGCAAGATCGTGGAGTTCGCGTGACTCGGTGACCGCACTCTACATACATTTATACCTGTATACACGTGAACGCTTGGGGTACACGCTCAATTAATTTGGGCGTCGCAAATCGAGACTCTTATCGAGCGTGACGATCCTTTTTTGTATACAACCCAACTAACCACGGGTTACCCACTACGTGCTGTGGGATATATACCAGCGCAACGTCGTTAAATTTAATTTGGCGCGTCGCTCGATGAAAAAAAAAAAAAAAAAAAAAAAAACGGTTTGATCGTCTGGTTCAATTACGTGCATCTGCGGCAGGGGTCTGATTAAAGGTAGCTTTTTGCATGCGCTACCAAAAATTGGGGGGGAAAAAAATGAAAAAAAATTTTTATATGAAAATGTTTGCAGATCTGAAGTGGCCCTCGACACCGAAACCAACACAGAACTGATTAACTGGCGCTAGCAGCTAATGGATAACTACGTACACGTGTCAACTCGGACCCCGATGACCGATGTGCTCTTCATGTGTTCCAATTGACGTGTAAATCCCAGCCGTGAAAATTTCGCTCCTGATACTCGTCGTCATTTGCGCCATCATTGTACTGTGCTCGTTGGATCTCTTCAAACTGTTTATCTTCAACCGTCAGCCAACACGGGCCTTCCCGAGCGAGAGGTTCAATGATTTTTAAGTGAAACCAACCACAGTTTTTAAAAATAGGCATTGTAAACGAACCATATTATATTACGACACGTATATTTTATTGAATAAAAGCACCGATCACCTACAATAAACGCGGACGACTGTCATTCATACGAACCACATAACTTCCCTCCGCACAGGAATCCACGGCATTCGCACGGGACTCCCTTTTGCGAGCCAAAAAG